CGGGGTTTTTGTTGATACGTTGTAATAGGAATAAGCAGCCTTTAGAGTGGAGTGATTCTGACTTCCGAGTATTGACGACGGAAGAGTATAGAAGCTACAGAAATCAGTGACTTCATGTGTCTCGGGGCTCTCAACAAGATAGCTGTCTACAACACCTTCCTTTGGAAGAAGCCAATGTTCCACGTCATTCTCATCAAAGTCGGGCGCAACTGCAAACTGCCTCAAGTAGTTCCTAAGCAAACGCGTAACAGCAGGAACATCATGGGGCTCCATTTTCCTGAACCCATGGGTGGCTGTCTGATCAGGTAACTTGTACAGCTTAATAGTCCGGCTCATTGTCATCCTTGCACCCAACCTAGAAAACCCAACATCGATAAGCTTCTTAGGGTTCAATGACCTATGCCAATATTGGCATGTTGTTATAGGCGTGGGGAGAATGACTCCAGCTGTATAAGCTGCTTGCCATATGTTTTCCAGATGAACTCGCCTCGTGACTTCTTTGATCATCACAGGAGCAAGGCGTTTTGACCTGAGCTTCTTATGAACACAAAGAAAATTGACCTCTGCCATGTTAACAATGGAATCATGGACACGTATCCTTGCGGGTATCCCCGTGATGAAAGCCACCAACTTTTTTGAACTCTTCGCACGGACTCCAATGTGCCAACTTCGGTAATAGCCTGGGGGGCGAAGAGCCCACCCCAGGAACTCCTTTGAGTAATTGAATCTGAACATGTTTTCATCATCTTCTACATAATTATGAGTCAGTAGATTGTAAACTTCTAAACACATTTCTTCAGAGTCCATGTCACAAGTAATCCATTCATACTGGGCAGGAAGGTTATAAGGCTCCTGTTTAACCTCAGACAGGGGTGTTGGAGCCTCAATTGGGCCCTCACTCAGGCTTGTATCAGCAAGATCCTTGAATTGCCCCACGGGTTGGGTTTCCCAGAACTTGTGCCGATTGGCAAGTGAGAAAGATTCTTGGACCTTTCGGGCTAATGAATCAATAGATACTTCATTTTCGTTTTCATTTTCTGGCGGTATGTTACCCTGGGGAGTAGGACCCTGGTTTTCTTCTTCTTTAGTGTTGTTGGTCATTCAGTCAACTTCAATTGCTACTCTATTAGAAAACACCATAAAAGATGGATATAACTAAAAATTAGCAGGAAAAAAAAAGTGAGACATATGCAGACTGCAGTAATAGGGAGAAAACACAAATCTCCAGGTTGATAGGAGATGCATATTTTTATATTGAAGAGTCATATCTCACCATTTCCTTCTCTCTTTTAATCTACTTTAGTATGACCATAACTAGTGATGAGGAATTAGCATTTCATTAAGATATGAAGAAATAAATTCCACCTATTTGATTATAGTTAAGAATTTCAGTCCATAAAATCTACAAGAATAATGTATGACAAACATATCAAATGACAGTGTTGTGGCTCATTTTGAGTATACTGCATAGCTAGCTAGCAGAACTCTAGAAACAGTATTAGACATCCTGCTATGTATTCTACCAGTTAGCTACGTAGTATATAACTACAACGTGTGGTTAAATTTTAGACAAATTTGGAAAGGAATTAATTTCCCAACAAACCCCAATAGAGATACAGTTGAGTCATGCCATATATGGATCACTGCAAGCACACACAACACTAGAAATCTCACTAAAGAAACTCAACCACAAGCCACATTAAAAAATTGAATTAAAAGAGAAACTGATGCGTAGTCATACGTAGCTTCAGTTGTTTTGATATGTATAGACCTTAAATACAGCAAGCCCACAGTGGCAAGAGTGCAAGACAATAAAAAAATTATGCACACAGAATGCTCAGATAAATATGTGTACACACAGACACTATTAATCACCTGGCCAAGCCTACCGGCCACCACCCAATGAAGTTACACAATTGCGCTTGACTCTTGAAGGGAAAGTATCACAAAGGTGGATATAAGGCCATTTTGAGGGTGTGTTAATAATAGGTGGTGGGTACCTTAAGACATGTATGCTTTTGTTATATTTTTGTAATTTGCTTTAATATGAAAAAAAACAGACAAAAAATGTAGATTTCTTATTGTTACACGGAATAGATTATTTTAAAATTTTTAATCATCAATAACATTGAGGATTAGAATAAAACACTTTAATCTAAGAGCGCATTTGGATAGCCACAGTGCCAACAATCATGTTTGGATGTAACTAAAATCTTGGTTTTGTTTGAATGGCCATGCAATTACATGGCCAATACATAATTAGTTGTATTTATAAAGGTGCATATGAATTGGGAATTATTTCACTCTTAAGTTACACTCAAAAAATACAAAATATACATAGTTTGTATTTTGTAATTATGCTCCAATTGAATTATAAAAAAACATTAAAATGAAATACATACAAAATACATTTTTCGTAATGCCAATTTAATTCTCCAAAATGATACATTTTTTGAAATCAAGAAGACACATCTTTTAATGAGTAAGAAAAAGGATTGGAGATATGGAAGATTATGAGAATTTAGAATATTTTGATGAAGATGTTGAGACTTGAGAACAGACCTGCAGAGCATGGTGGGATGTATATGTCTAACATGAGAAATGAAAACTCTTCAATTGTTATTTCACAATGTTAACTCCTTATAAAGGTTATGAATTGTTTAGTCTCACTACTTATTCTACATATCATAATTATTCTTAAAAACATATGGAGTACTTACTAAATTGTACTGAATATTTTTTTTAAATGTACATAGTATATTTTAAACTTGAATTTTTTTTTAAAATAAATACTCAGTTAACTTGTGTCACAAATCAGACACACAAAATGACAATGTAATTATATTACCAAAATACTACATGTAGTAGTGATTACTCGTATTTAATTACAGAGCTGTGTTACCCAGTAATTAGAATCCAAATCTAGCTGAAAAAATATGTTTTTAAAACAAAAATTCAGCGGAATCAATCACTAGTAAATAAAAATTACATATAATCACAACAGTGAAAAATATACTTCCGCATATAACAAAGCAAACAAATCTTCTAAAGCAAATACATCCCGGAAAGCATTTTAACAGATCAAATATTAGAAGATCTTCGAAAAATCTTCGAAAAACATAGTGCTAAGAGAAGATCTGTAGAGTAGAGCTTCAGATTTGGAATTTCGAAGATCATAAAATCAATCCGCGATAAGAAAATCTTAAAAAATGGAACTGAAGATGGAGCGCAGAAAAGAGAAATACCTGAGATTTGATGAATGGACTGGTGGCGAATAGGAATGAAGGAATTTTGTGAAGTGGTGAGATGCTAACCTTGCGAGGATTGAAATGGAAGGGAAGGTGGAGACGTAAAAGTTACGAACTTTTTAGTTTTTACAGCCCGCCATTATATATGTTTACCGGCCCAGTATGAATGCTTCTGTATAATTTACCCAGCATTTGCCATGTTACTTATTCTTTCTCAAATTGAAGCTCAAATTTTCACAAAAAAAAAAATAAAAATAAATGTAAATAATAATAAAACTAATAATACTTAATAATAATAATATCTATAATATTAATAACAATAAATGTAATGAGAGTAATATGAATTAACAATTACATAAATTTTTTAAGTCATTATTGAAAAAAACTTGAAGTTTATAAATTTGGAAAAACATAAGCTTACATATGTTAAAGACAACCAAATGAATATGAGACGTACTAAAAATAAAAAATGAAAAATATAATTAATTATTAATATAATATTTTAGTGGTAATGGTCTGGTTTGGTATTTTCAATATATATTTTTTGGAACCCTTCCCGTACCATTCCGATAATTGTTCGATTTGATTCGATGCAGGATATAATCTACTAGAACTATTTGAAACTCACTTTTCGATTTGGTACAATTTTGGTCCGATTTGAAATAATGGCGGACCAGTATTACTCGGGGAGTAATAAACTAATACTCCCTAATATATTTATTGGACATGTTCAAATGACACTAGTTTTGAACATACTATGGTGTTCTCTTTGACACTTTGACACCAAAGTGATTCTTGTATTATCTAAATTCTCTTAAGGATCTCAGAGACTTGAATCTAAAGAGAAAATGGAAATTATTGGTAATTCTTACAGATTTGGATCTCCTTCCCACACATATAAGAGGACTATTTATAAGCAAACTTAAGTGGCAGGATCATGAGCTACTACTGAGGTCATCTACAATGGATGCCTGGATTCTGCCGCACTGCATGACAAACGATGACACCACGCCGGGCTACCATTGCGAGGCGACCAGCAAAAATTCAGCCGCGGCGCGGCACATGATGTCAAAGTTGGTGTGACTATAGCATGGTCTATATGAATATGTGCAAATCACAGATAAAAACTAGCCGCAAATATTTCTTTAATATAGAAAAAATTTACCCAGTACTACATACAACAGAGCCTTTGTATTGAGTAATGAATAGCCTAATGCACCTTCACTATACTGGACACAACAATATTACAGGTGAACTATTGGAAGAAAAAAAATGGCCAGAAAGAACACTGCATATGGCCCAAAAATCCTAATTTATACATTAGCAGAAAATGAAAAAAACTGCAGGATGAATTTATGTTATGTTTGTGAAACATCTGTTCTTGTAGACGTAGCAGAATACTTTTTCTGCAACTTACCTTTCAACTGCCTAATCTTTGCATCTACCCTAGCTGTGAACCCAATCTTTGTCCTCTCCCTGGCTTTTGATCTCTCCCTTGTCCACATATGCCGATCCTCAATGTCTTTCTTGTAGTACTTGATTTCTTGAATGATGTGATGATCCATCGGGTTGAATGCCCGTTGGAAAGATATGTGGGCCAGGTACGGAAGGTTACACGTCACCATCACCAAGATTGTGGTCAGCCAGTAAATAGGGGAAGGGGCAAGGGCTTCGACGAGGATTTGAAATGCATTTGTAGAAATGTTTGGGGATAATGCACCATAGAAGAGAAGGAATATGTACCAAGCAGCGATGCTTCCCCAGATAAGAATGTGTTGTATCCATGTGAAATGGCTCATGGCTAGCGCAACTTGGCAGTTGACGGCCCACACCACACAAGTAAACATAGCTGTCCCTACAGCAGTGAGGTCAGCAGTCTGGCCTCCAGATCGGAAGGCTTGATCATAGAAAATGATTAGGTTCAGGAAAAAGATGACGACCGAGGCATAAAAACCGTTACCCATCCACCCACATATCCTATTCCAATCAAAGAACAGATTTTTGGGTCCTTGCTGATAAAGTGCTGGAAACTGCATTAGTAATGCATTTTGGTTGAATGAGGGAGGGCATTTGGAGATATTTGAATGGTGCATGCGTGTGTGTGTGTGTGTGTGTGTATCATCACCCTAACCTGTAAGCAGACTTCAGATGGTACGTCCTGCTCAAAGACTCCAAGTGAAATGACAGGCAAGGATGTGAGAACCACATTAAAGAGTAGCATATACAGATCATCGTAGACTGACTGCCCAGAGAAGCCAGTAAAAGCTTCATAGTAAAATAGCGTGAGGCCGAATGCGATATTCTTGTAGAAAAAATAGCATATCTGAACCCAAAAAAATGAAAGCATTGATATTGAAGTTAGACCGTGTACAGGGCATAGAAAAGCAAGATAAATGAACAATGAGATGTTATAAATGTGGCTTAAAGTTTCTTAATTATGGCCTTTTTTTTCTCTTGATTGTATGAATTCATATGAGCTCAGCCAGACAGATCTGACTGACCGAATTCTCCTTGGACCGAGCCCGAGCATTCTCGTTTTCATATTATAGGGGTTTTGGATTGGGTTAACCCTATCAACATCCTACAAAACGAAGCACCAAAAGTAAACTCATTACCATTTGAGCAATGCGCTTGTAGCACCAGTGACCATGCACAACAAGAAGCCTCTCCAGAAAACGGAACTGTGCAATGGCAAAATCACTAGCCATCACTGCCTGCAATAAACTCCCATAGTCATGTAAAACCCTTATAGAGTGCGCATAAGACAAAGACATGCATGCTATACAGTATATAAATCCACATGGTATGTATGTGTTTGTAGTCAGTGACTAGATCGATGGGAGGTGGGGCTGTCGTGCTTCCAAAAGATTTAACAAGTAGGTTTTATTAACCTAACATGTTTAGTTTATCAGGCAGAGGTGACATATAATTAGATTTGGTCCCCCCCCCCCCCAAAAAAAAAAAAAAAGACAAAAACTTCCAAAACTATGTACAACTCGGGTTTTTTATGGAAAACATTGTATAGTTGGTTTAAAGCACTCCATTCGCCCCACAAAGGTACGCTTTTATGTAATCACAAAGGAAATATTAAATAGTTAGAGGTGCTTGTGGGCTTTGGATTTAGTTGGTTGAGTCGGCTTATGTGTTTCTGCCCTCTTCCTTCTTTGCTAGTGCTTTGTTAGTGTATTGTAGTTTGTTTGACCGTACTTCTTTTCTAATAGGGGTAAGGTCTGCGTATACTTACCCCCAGACCCTACTTTTTGTGGGATTCTACCGGGTTGTTGTTGTTGTTCCATGAATTGCATGTTGGCCTTGCCATGTCAATCATGTAATGGACACGGCAAAATAAAATAATCTAGCTCATCACCATATAAAGAAATTTTCCTTGCATGTGGACATAACCTGTCCTAAACTTACAAGTTACAACCGAGCATCAGGCATAAAATAGTAACAATATGCTTTACCAAGGGGGTTTGGAACGAGTACGGAACGGCTCAGTATCGCTTAAGGAAGGCCTCAAGTTCAAGTCTTAGTGTCACTCACCCACCAAAGTCAGTGTCCTTGGGAGACTCACCCACCAAAGCCAGATGTGAGACCCAGGTCGTATCCGGTTGTAGGCAAAGCTCCCATGAATGGCAACCAAAACAAAAAAAAGTAGGCACTGCAAACTTAATCCCGTTGATCCCAACTACTTGGGATCAAGGTGCTGCTGATGGTGATTTTTTACTTTAACTCTTTGTTAAGTTAATTAATGTATTACCTGTCTTGAAACTCAAGAAATAAAAATTCAAATTGGGGAAGGACAAAATATGGGACATAGAAACTAAACTAATTTTGTGGAAAGGACAAAAACAGGGATGCAAGCTCATCTTTGTGGGACAAATGGAGTAAATTCTAGTGGTGCCAAAGAACTAATCACAACAAGAAAAGCAAACTACTAACATTGGGTTAGCTTGGAGATTAAGAAGTCCAAATTATTGGAGTAAATTTTAAATTTATTGACATGTTCATATTTTATTGCACCCCAACATGTTCATATTTTATTGCACCCCACCTTAGAAAACACATTACAAGACACTCACTGTAATATGAGGCTTTAATTGAAAGCTGAAAAATATTTGAAAATATAAGAGATCCAAGCATTTGGGTGAAAATATTTGTCATCTTGGGGGAACCACATGGTCCACAATAATAGTAAATTAGTAATAGTGAACCATCATTTGTAAAAGACTCGGGACCACCACAGCCCAAGAAAAATGGTTAGATACTTTATATACATGCACAGATTAAAGAATCAAGATAGAACGCATTACTGACTTGCATTCCTTCTGCACCACTGATTCCAACGCCAATGTCAGCTTCCTGAATCATTCCAACATCATTTGCACCATCCCCAATGGCTAAGGTAGTTCTTCCAGTCCCTTCTTTTACCAACCTTGTCACCTGTGAAACTAAAAGAATGAAGTGCACACACAAACTACTAATAAGAGCTTTCTGACCATAATGAAATTAAAAAAAACAGCTTACCAAAGCTTTCTGCTTAGGAGAGACACGGCAGCAAATAACAGATGCACAGTGAACAGCCAAGTCCAAAAATTGATGTTTAATGTTATCCTCCAAAGCATATGCTAGTGCTTTTCCATCAATAATCAATGCAAATGCAGCAAGTGGGTCCTTTTCGAGCTTTACCATTTGAGACCCATTTGCGATTTGCATCAAAATACTCTCTTTGACAGCCTGAGGAGTAATTAACAGCTATCATGAAGCTCAATAGAGCAATAGTTAATTATTACTTCGTAGTTTATTATTGAAGTTTATAAGACTATACCTCATTGGTGTCATTTGCTGCTGATCCCGTGTTTGCCAATATGCATATCTGCTTCATCCCTTGTCGAAGCAAACTACAAGAAAATCTTCATACAACAAAAAATTGAGTTAGATTTCTTGCAAAAGAAACAGTGTAGTGTGCAAATTCTTTCATTAATATGTGGACCCACCCTATGTTTATTGCAGTTTCCATCTTATCACCAGTCAAGACCCAGATCTTTAAACCGGCTTGCGCCAGTTTGTCAATGCATTGGGGAACCTAACATGAATAACAAAATTTCTAAGAAACATTGACTACATGTCCATGTTGATAAACCACAAGTTGAAAACATACCCCTTTTTGCAATTTATCCTCTACAGCAGTAGCTCCAAGAAGAAACAGATCCCTTTCCATTACATCAGATAAGCGTTCAAGCATTGCTTCCCTGTCACTTCCCAATGAAGTTTTTGCTTTTGTAAACTCTTCATTCCAAACAGCATACTCAGCTTCATCAACTTTTTTGTATGCAAGTGCAAGTGTACGCAACCCTGCTTCCCCATAATCATTCAAATGCTTTAATGTAGCTTCCTCAAACATTCTCCCATTTCTTGCTAATCTATCAAAGACTATGCTGTAAAAAGTTGAAAATAACAGAGGAATGAAACTCTAGATTGGATACAAAAGGCTCAACGCTAAAAAAACATACAACATTAAAAAACATATCCTGCCCTTACCCCTCCCCCCATTGGGGGGTGGGGAGCAGAGGCGAGGGAACCAGTAAAGATGACAAAACTCAAATTTAGGCAATGAACAAGTATATCTTCTTGAATGAGTATATATCTATAAAATTATAAAGGATGCTCAAACACAGACCTGTCTGCTCCTTTGCACAAGAGTAAAATCTGTCCATTCTCATCCTGAACAATAATAGACATTCTCTTCCTCTTGCTTGTGAAGTCCAACAGATTTAGAACTTTGTATTCTCTGGAATTTGGGGGAAAAGACACTAAAATAAGGTACCTGAATGAAAACAAATTCCAAACTGGATGTAGTGCAAGACAGCCTATAGTCTCACCTTTCAGCGGGTTTTATATAATAAGGATATCTCTCACGAACAGCTATGATTGACTGAGTTCTTTTACAAAACTCAAAACCAAATTCTCTAGCTGCAACAAGAAAAGCAGCTTCATCCGGTGATTCTGCTTCATAGTTGAAGCTACCAGTCACCTCATTTAGTTCAGGAATTGCCGTGTGACAGATTGAGAGTATCCTGAAGAATAGCAAGATGAAATCTGCATTTGGTTCATTTAACCAATTCCCATTCATGAGGCGGCTATCCTGAAAGCTAAATCCCTTGATTTCAGGTTTTTTCTCTTCTTCTACTACTACTTCTTCGCCTTCTTCTTCTTCTTCTTTACCTGTAGAGGCCGCCTCTATTTCAATTTCTGATCCATTAGGTTTTCTTTCAGGGTCCGACTCATTGAATTCCATGGCCATTTGCTTCGCAGCTGCAAGTTCGACATCACTAGCACGCTTTCCATATGCAGTTCCAGCAATGGAGCATTTGAGGAAATCCATTTGGTTGCATGTCAAAGTACCAGTTTTGTCAGAGAGGATTGTGTCAACCTGCCCTAGCTCCTCATTTAGATTTGATGTTCTTGCTTGAGCAGGAGTTCCAGACTCTTCGTCATACATATGGAGGTCCCGATTAATGAACAGAGCTTGTAACACCTTGACAATTTCAATGGAGACATATAGGGATATGGGTATTAAGTATCCATATAATATAAGAGCAGTAACAAGATGAAAGATCCCAGACAATGCAGGTCTGGATGTATTATAGAAAACATTTCCATCGTCCTCAGGATGTAAATACCACCAGTCTGGCATCTGGAACTTCACCTTCACAGCAAATCCAATTGAGCTAATTGAGGAGATCAACAAAAGAAGAGTAAAAAGGATGTAAATAATTTTGTCCATTTGTTTTTCTATCCGACTCCTTTTCGAGGGGGATTTTGTAGAGTTCTGCATGACCTTGGTATCATGCCCACTGAATATAACCACTCCATATATATAAGCTGTGTTCCTTAATTTTGAATCTCTGAGGAGAATCTGACTAGGGTCAAGAGGATAAGTTTGACGGTCGTATTCGAGGTTTCCCTCGAAAGTGTAAAGATTGGGGTTGGGATCTTCACACTTTATGGTTGCTCTGAAGTCCTTGAAGGACTCATCATCGTCCAAGTTTAAGGTAACCTCTAGAGCTCTTTTGACCTTCAAGTTTGTCTCTCCATCTAGGTTCATTGTTTCCACATAACATATTCCATCTTCATAACTAGATGACAAAAGAAGTAAATCTGCTGGAAAAAATTGGTCCTTTTGCACTTTCACAATGTCTCCAACGCGAAGCTTCATCCACGGTCGTGAACCGAAATTCCCACATGATTTATGGACCTTAGCTTTCCGTAGATTGACTTTCATATCCTGAATGAATCTCCGCCAGTCTTCCAACGCCTCCTTAGCCATACTCAAGCCAACAACAAATACCAAAGGCGCTATCATACTTAGAGCAGAGAATGGTGAAACAGGTGTGAGGGAGAGGATTGCAGCCAGAAGAAAGTAAAGGTTGGCAACGCGCCTAAACTGCTCGAATATAGCCTTCGGTAGGAAGGATAAGATATTGTACTTTGTCGTGGATATGTAATTCGAGCAGTACTTGAGAGGTTTTACATCATGGCGCTGAGGTTGGTTGCAATGGACTATCCGCGAATAACCCGGACCTGAAGAATGAGAGCCCCCATCTTCAGCTTCTTGTGGCGGCCTTATACATGCAAATGTGTACAAATTGGTCCAGCTAAGCTTTGCCCTTATATTTCCTCTTACCATTTTAGCTTTCTCCCTTGGATGATGGTGAGCTCAGTTTCACTCATTCCACAATGACTCAATCAAGAAAATGTCACCATTTCATGGAGGAGTCACTCATTGCCACCGATAGTCTTCAAATTCCAATGTCTGTAGTGAAAACTGCAGCAAGGCGGGGTGATAACCCTAAAATCGATGAGTATTAACCAAAGAGGAATTGAATAAAAAAAGAAATCATACTCAGAATGTAATTCTAACTTCAACATTCTAGTTCTTGTATAAGTTCCAAGTTCAACTAAAGTAATAGATAGAACCCAGCCTAACAATATACCCATACCAAGAAGTCCACACTAAAATTGAATGAATTTTAATGGCTCCAACCCAATTCAAACAATTGCCTTCATCCATAAATTACAGTAACAAATGGGAGAAGAAAAAAGAAATCAAACTAGCATAGCATTCCCAGCTGAAACTGAAGCAAACAAACACACACACACACTCCCTCTAAGCAATCACACGATTGGATTATACACAGACACGGAGAAGAAGAAGAAGAAGAGAAACTTAGATCAACAGTATCCCTAGAATCCCAAGAATTCCAGCAAAAGAATCTCAAGAATCCCACCAAGAAACAATCGGGAAGAAGAAGAGCAATGAGCGCAGGAGGGGAATACCTGAATCAAAGGAGGGTTAAGCGAGAATCAGGAAGAAAGCCAGGCAGAAATGCGTGTGAGGAAAAAAGCAGCAGGGGGGGAGATCGCGAGTGCAGGAGGTCAAAGCAAGAAGAAGAGGAGAGAGAAAGAGGGAGTGATGATGAGAGAAGGAGTGTTTTAGGTAGTAGCGTTTGGGGATTGAAAATGTGGGCTAATTTTCTCCGTCCAGAACCGTACCCCACCTTTTCTCACTCTGTTTTTCGGCCTCCCTTCTAATGTCCTGCAACGGCAATCAGAACCCTTACACGCCTACGGAATAAGGATGTAAACCTTACACTTCTCACCTCTTCCCACGGGCGGATCTATGTTTGGCTCGTTGGGGGAGTCAAAATCTCTTGCTCATTTTGAGTTTTTAATAGAGACTCTGCTACACACCCTGCACCCTTGCTACCAACCTTGCCTCCACTCACTTCTCCACCACATATTTATCTCTACCCATTCTCCACCCACCCTTTAATTTTAATTTTCTTGCCTCCCTACCACATGTTTATGTAGGGGGCATGATTAGTAGCAAGAGTGGGGGTTTTTATCAGTTTCCTTTTAATAGTGGCTCCCAGTTGAAAAAACAAATAGCCCCCAGTCAATTTTTTACCCCTTACTCATAGCTCCCCTATGCTACTTGCTCGCTCTCCATCATACCCATGTATTTTTTGTTCGGTTTTTCTCAATAAACCATTTTGTTTGCCTTTTAGATCCAAAGAAAGTGAGTATTTACGTCAATGCTTAATTGAATTCAATTTTTTTCATATGTTTTAATTTAATTTTCTCTATTTTATTTGTATATTGTTTGAAATGAAATTATGTATAATAGACTATTATTGAGATAATTGAGAAGATATCATTTTCAATTTTATTTTTTGTTAAGAATTTACTAATTTTTTTTAGATAATTGAGAAAATAGATTTTCGTTATCCATAATGTTTATTCTAAACTTTAGGCTAGAAATTTACCAAAATTGATTATTATGTTTATCTTTTTAGAAAAATTTAGAATTTGTTTTTAACTTGTTGGACTATGTGTACTTTCAATTCATTGCCTAAAAAATTGATTTAACTAGTATTCCATGTAACCCATCCAAAAATAAAAAATTACATATTATCATCAAAAACAAAAAGAAAACATTTGATTACAAGTGGCCATGATTTTCACGTAGAATGAAGCACACTTTCAAATGTTACAAATTAAAATATTATTGACCGCTTCCAAAATATGAAAACTCGAAGAGAACAATTGAAAAAAAAGTTTGTGTTTTATTTAATATCTCTTATTTTTCACTTTAATATTTTTTATTTAATTTACTTTTGTTACATACATACATACATAGATACATACATACATACATACATATATATATATATATATATATATATATATATATATACACTTCCTCCGTCCCACTCTCTTTGTCCACTAACCTTTTGGCACACCATCCAATGCACTTCTTTAATCCATTTTATCTTGTAATTTATATATTAAAAAATTATAGAAATTATATATTAATAATCTATATGTTAAGACAAATCAAACAAGATCACACATGACTATATTTAAGCTTACACATTGAGAGAATTTGATGAGTCAAAGTGCTTAGATGAACAGTTCCAAAAGTCAAAACTGGACAAAGAGAGTGGGACGGAGGTAGTATATATATATATATATATATATATATATATATATATATATATATATATATATATATATATATATATATATATATATATATATATATATATATATATATATATATATATATATATATATATATCTGTGTGAGAGAGAGAGAGAGAGAGTGTAATGTGTGTGGATCAATCAAAGCGCCCCCCATGAAAATATTTTCTAGATTCGTCGCTGCCTCTTCCTATCTTTTTTGGAGCATGCTACATCTACCCAAAATTTGTACTTCATTTATACGCTAAAGGTATGCACCAATATTTTGATGGTTGACACTAATACAAAGTGTAGGTGTGTTAACAAAAATTTACACTAACACAAAGTGCGTTAAAAAAATTAGCATTATACCAACACAAAATGTTGGTACATCCCTGCGGTATACAGAATGGGGTACAAATAGCTTTATCCATCTTTTTTTCTTATTACAAAAGGTTGAATTTGTAACTTCGAGGGCCGATGAGGAATGTGGAGGGAGGTAAATCAAGAATTCACTCTAATACTACACGTCGTCAGAAATCGATTCGTGCGCCATGTTTCAAATCTGTCCTTTCCGAAACAAATTGGGTATGCCCAGGCGTTGAATAAGGGTGAACACGGTCTGCACTACTACAAAAATGATCTTTTAAATCGGTTATTTGGACCCTTTTAAATCGGTTTTGAACCGATGCAAAAGCCATTGATGCAAATACTCTAGTAACTTTTTGCATCGGTTATTAAAACCGATGCAAAAGCCCTCCTCAGAAGTTGCGCCAATTCTGGGAAGAGGCTTTTTGAATCGGTTATTACCAAATAACCGATGCAAAAGCCCCTTCCCAAAAATGGCGCCATTTCTCGGAAGGGGCTTTTGGATCGGTTATTTGGTAATAACCGATTCAAAAGAGTATCTTTTGAATTGGTTAATACAAAATAACTGATTCAAAAAGGTTAAAATTTTCAAAAAGCCAATTTTGTTTGTTCCCGATCCACTCCATTTCAACTTTGTAGAAAATTCAACCCATCAACACAAAAGTAACTAACACAAATGCATTCACAAAACTCAAATCAAATGCCACAAAACAAATTAAACCAAAAAAGTAAACATTGTTGGACTTGAGTTCAAACCCCTTTATTATTATTCTGGAATATTTTTGTTTTGATAAATGACAAACATGTTGATTAAATTCAAGCTGATCGAAAATTTATTTTTCGCATCGAGAAAAGCAAAGAGGCGTATCAAGATAAAATCAACGCTTATCCCTACGTAGATTTTTTTGAAGTGAAGTGAAGACTCCAAAGACTTTTTAATTGTATTTGAGTCTAGGAATCTTTTTAAGGATGACAATAATTTTTGCATAAACAATTTAATTTTGAGGGATAAAAATTATTATTTTCTGAGTCAGTTGAAAAATTATTTTTTCTCTGTTCAAAAATATTTTACTGAGTCAGTTTCAAATAGTGTGTCAAAATTTCTTTAAAATACTTTTTAAAGTTACACAAATTTTTTTATGGTAAGAAAAATATACTTTAAATATTTTTTCGTGTATATCGTTTGACACACAAAATAATTTTTGGACTCACTTTTCTCTCCCCTATTCAAATGCATCGAATATGAGATAAGTTTTTCTGAGGAGCGTTCTCTTATTCTCTCTGTCTCAAACAAAGAGGATACTGCCAATTCATTTCCTCATCGCAACTTGGCTTGGGCCAGTTGTGTTGCGCATTATTTAAGAAGTAATCGATTAATCATCTTGAGATAATCGATTATTTGATTCTTGACTAGCGGAGGACTTCTGGCTTTTGGACTTAATCGATTTCCTCTTGTCATTTAATCGATTGATAGATTTTGTCGTTGGATTCCCAGGCTTGCCTGATAATCGATTCTTTTTCCTCTTTTAATCGATTAGTTTGGACAGAGCCGACTAATCGATTTTTGGACCTCATTTAATCGATTAGTTCCATTCCTCTTTTCAGGCTTTTTCGCCTCTGTGTACCGTAATCGATTTAACCTTTAACGTTAATCGATTAATTTTATCTGGTGCATATTATCAGCCTGCTCCAATGGATTTATTTCTCTGAGCCTATTTAATCCTCTTTCTTCTTCATTCTCAATACACTACTCTTGCATTCTAATATACTCCTTAAGCTATATTCATCCCTTTCTTCATCTTCCTCATCAAAAATATTATTTTTGAGAGTTAGAAATATTTTCTTTGAGTGCTAAAGAAGTTGTCATCCATAGAGCTTTAATCCTTCAACACTACTTTGCTCAATTGTGTGAGCTTTCATTCTTGTGTTGTAAACTCAACCTTATTTGAGTGTTGTTCTTAAGACTTGTGTGACTCAAGTCTTGGTGTTGTAAGAAAGTGAGGCTTGTGTGATTCAAGTTCTCAAGTTGTACCGGTTTTTCAAGCACTCGTTGAAGCTTGAAGATTAGTAGGACTTTCAAGAGAGTCTCTCGTAGGACTGGACTAGCCACGAGGTGGTGAACCAGTATAAATCTCGGTGTTCTTCTTTCCCTTACTCTCTTTATTTATTCCTGCGATTTTATTATTTCACACACGCGAAAAACACACATTCTTGAAAACAACTCTATTCACCCCCTCTAGAGTTGCACATTTGTCTAACAATTGGTATCGGAGCAGGAAGTTCTTCGAATACGTTATTTTTCAGGAACTAAAAGATCAAATGGCATCCAGAATGTCCAACGCAGGAGTGACCGAGGGAAATCAACCACAAGGCCACCGTTGTTTGACGGAACCAACTACTCTTATTGGAAGGAGAGGATGAGGATCTTCATCCAATCTAATGACTACAAACTGTGGTTGATAGTCAAGAACGGGTGTGGAGTCCCGATGAAGAAAGTCGGTGAAGTCAACGTCCCCAAAACCGAAGAGGAGTTCACCGACGAAGATTGCAAAACGATGGAGCTCAACGCAAATGCAATAAACATGGTTTATTGCGGTGTTAATGCGGATGACTGCCGCAAAATCTCGCGGTGTGAAACCGCAAAACAAATGTGGGAGAAATTGGAGGTCACCCACGAAGGAACCGCGCAGGTTCGGGAGGCCAAAATCGACCATCTTACTCACGAGTACGAACTCTTCTCAATGAAGGAAAACGAGAAGATTGAGGAAATGTTTGAGAGGTTCTCTAACATCATTAATCCTCTCAATCTTCTCGGGAAGACCTACACTGACCGAAAGCTTGTGAGAAAGGTGCTACGAAGCTTATCCCCAAAATGACGTTCAAAGGTGGATGCAATCGAAGAAGGTCGTGACTTCTAAACAACGACCTATGATTCTCTTCGAGGTAATCTTATTACCTATGAAACCACCCAACTCTCAAAGGTGGTTGAAGAGAGGAGCAAGAGGTCTATCGCTCTACCCGCAACAACATTAACCCACAACAACGTTGATGATGAAGATGATGATAGTGACGACACCGACCTCGGACTCTTTGTCCGAAAATTCAAGAAGATGATGCTCAAGAAGGGAGCCAAGAAGAACACTCCACCCAAGTGCTATGGGTGTGGTGAAATTGGGTACATCAAACCAATGTGTCCGAAGCTCAAGAACGAGAAGGACAAGAGGGCACCGAAGAGGCAACGGGCCTACATTTCTTGGGAGAACGACGGCTCCAGGAGTGAAGACTCGGAAACGGAGGAAGTGGCCAACTTGTGTCTCATGGCCATTGAGGATGGTGAAACATAAAAAGAGGTAAGTGATCAAGAACCTTCTCCCAATGATCCTTTAACTCTTAATGAATGATGTTGTTTGCATTGTAGAAGATTTAGTAGGGATGTTCAAAAAGGCTTCCAAAGAAAATAATGAAGTAAAGCAAAAAATCCTGATTTTTGAGAATGATATTAAAGAACTCAAAAATATAAATGATAAACTTAAACAAGAAATTATCTCTTTTGGAAAAAGGCCACAAGAACCTTCATCTACTACATGCTCTAGTTGTACATCACTAAAAGCTCAAGTTGCTAGTTTAGAGAGCAAATTGGGAAAGTTTAATAATGCTTCAAACACCTTAGATAAAATACTTAAACAAAAAGTAAGTAATGGTGAAGGACTTGGATATAAGAAAAATCAACCTAGAAAAACAACATTTGTTAAAGCTAGGGGGAATAAAAATGCTAGGATAAATAATCAAACTAGAAGAGCACATCCTAGCAAACCTAGAACTCATTACACTCAACCATATAGGATGAATAATCCTAATGTTATTTGCCATTATTGTAATAAGATAGGTCACATTGCAACCATGTACTTCACCAAAAATAGGCATTTCCAACAAACGCACACACATCGCACATATGCTAACCAAAAAGGACCCAACAATACATGGGTACCTAAACCGTCTCCTTGATATCCTTTTGTAGGTGTGCTTGAAGGCTTCGAGTACCTCTTGGTATCTCGATAGCGGATGCTCCAAGCATATGACCGGAGACGCATCCAAATTTAGGAGCATAGAATATTTCAAAGGTGGCAATGTCGTTTTCGGTGACAACAACAAAGGAAGGATCATTGGAAGTGGCACCGTCGGGAGAGACAATGCTACAACCGTTGAGAACGTTCTTCTTGTTAAGGGCCTCAAGCACAATTTTCTTAGCATTAGTCAATTGTGCGATAGAGGTAACCGTGTCATCTTTGATTCTAGTAAATGTATTGTAGAATGCTTGTGTGACAATATGACTATTCTTTGTGGTAGTAGAGTAGATAACATTTACATGTTTGATCTTGAAAATTCCCCGTCTATCTTAGCTAAGTGCCTCATTAGCAAAGAGGAAGAAACGTGGCTATGGCATCGTCGAATAGCTCACGTTAATATGGACCATCTTAATAAGTTGGTTTCTAAAGACTTAATAATTGGTGTTCCTAAACTTAAGTTTGAGAAGAATCTAATTTGTGATGCATGTCAAAAGGGGAAGCAAGTAAGGGCCTCGTTTAAGTCAAAGAACGTTATTTCTACGACTAGGCCATTATAACTTTTGCACATGGACCTTTTTGGACCTTCAAGGACTATGAGTCTAGGAGGTAATTACTTTGGCTTTGTTATCGTTGATGACTATTCGAGGTTTACATGGACACTTTTCCTTGCTCACAAGTATGATGCACTTAATGTTTTTAAGAAATTCATTAAATTGGTTCAAAATGAAAAAGATTCTCACATTGCATCCATTAGAAGTGATCATGGGGAAGAATTCGACCAAGATGACTTTGACGCCTTATGTGACGAATTAGGCATTGAGCATAACTTCTCGGCCTCCCTTACACCACAACAAAATGTAGTGGTTGAACGGAAAAATAGATCTTTTGAAGAGATGGCTAGAACTATGCTCAATGAGGCTAACCTTCCTAAATATTTTTGGGCGGATGCCGTGAGTATCGCGTGCTACGTGTTAAACCGAGCCGTCATTAGACCGATACTCAAGAAAACGCCCTACGAACTTTACAAAGGAAGAAAGCCTAACCTTTCCTATTTTCATGTCTTTGGATGTAAAGTTTTCATTCATAATAATGGAAAAGATAACTTGGGAAAATTTGATGCTAAGTCGGATGAAGGAATTTTCTTAGGTTATTCTCTTCGTAGTAAGGCATATAGAGTGTTCAACAAGCGTACTTATAAGACCGTAGAGGAATCTATTCATGTTGTCTTTGATGAATTTGAAGCTCGCTTGGCGAGAAAAGGTATTGTTGAAAATGTTGCAGGTTCATATGACGATGAAGAAGAAATCATCAAGGAAAAGGAACCGGAAGAAGAGAAAACGCAGGAGCAAACGGAGCTTCCTAAGGAGTGGAGAATATTGAAGAATCACCCGATTGACAACGTTATTGGTGACATAACGCAGGGAGTTTCTACTCGTAATTCTCTTAGGAACACAATTAATCACATGGCCTTTGTTTCTCAAATTGAACCAACAACCGTTTTGGATGCTATTAATGATGAACACTGGTCTATGGCAATGCAAGAGGAGCTTAACCAATTTAAACACAATGATGTTTGGGAATTGGTGCCTAGACCTAATGATCATTCCGTTATTGGCACAAAATGGGTGTTTCGTAACAAACTCGATGAAAATGGAGTTATCACTAGAAACAAAGATAGGCTTGTAGCTAAAGGCTACAATCAAGAAGAAGGCATTGATTATGAAGAAACTTATGCACCGGTTGCACGTTTAGAAGCCATTCGTTTATTACTTGCATTTGCATCTACGATGGATTTTAAACTTTATCAAATGGATGTTAAAAGTGCCTTCCTTAATGGTATCATTCAAGAGGAAGTGTATGTCGAACAACCCCCGGGTTTCGAAGACTATGAGTTTCCCGAACATGTCTTCAAACTCAAAAAGGCGCTTTACGGTCTCAAACAAGCACCTCGTGCTTGGTATGAACGGTTAAGCAAATTTCTTTTGGACCATGNGTTCAAACGGGGTCAAGTCGACACTACTCTTTTCTTCAAGAAAGATAACCAAGACATCCTTTTGGTTCAAGTTTACGTAGATGATATCATATTCGGTGCTACTAACGAGGTTTTGAGTAGGGATTTTTCTGATATGATGCAAAGCGAATTTGAAATGTCGATGATGGGAGAATTAAAATTCTTCCTTGGGCTACAAATTAGACAATGCAAAGAAGGAACATTTGTGTGTCAAACGAAATATTGCAGGGAATTGCTTACGAGATTCGATGTTACCGAATCCAAATCCATTGACACGCCAATGAGCACCTCTTGCTATCTCGACAAGGACGAAAAAGGTAAAGAGGTAGACATCAAGCGCTACCGAGGTATGATCGGCTCTTTACTTTATCTTACCACGAGTTGACCGGATATCATGTACTCCATTTGTATATGCGCTAGGTATCAATCATGTCCTAAAGAGTCGCACTTGGTTGCGATAAAAAGGATAATGCGATATCTCGCGGGCACGTTGAACGTAGGTCTTTGGTATCCCAAAGGTTCGACATGTCATCTTGTTGGCTATTCCGACTCGGATTTTGCAGGTTGCAAACTTGATAGGAAAAGTACCAGCGCTACTTGCCACTTATTCGGTCATTCGTTAATCTCGTGGTTTAGTAAGAAACAGGTTAGTGTTGCACTTTCCACCACCGAAGTGAAATATGTCGCTGCGGGAAGTTGTTGTGCCCAAATTCTTTGGCTAAAACTGCAACTAGTGGATTTCGGCATTATACTTGATCACATCCCAATTAGGTGTGACAATATGAGCGCTATTAGTCTAACGGAGAACCCCGTTCTTCACTCGCGGACTAAACACATAGAAATTAGGCATCACTTCATACGAGATCATATCCAAAAGGGAGATGTCACAATTAAGTTTGTTGAAACGAAACATCAATTGGCGGACATTTTCACAAAACCCCTTAGTAGGGAGAGTTTCTTCCACATTCGGAACAAACTTGAAATTTTGGATATCTCTATGAACTAATTCATTCTTGTTATTGACTATACTAATTTGAGCGTCGGAGGCACGATAAATTCTTTTTTGCAAGGCCTTTCAGGTATCTTGGCCCTTGGTATCAAACCTGAATTGGACTTGATGATTTTTTTCATCAAACAGTTTGTAATCGATTACTACTCAAAGAGAAATCGATTAGACGCGTCTGTCCAATCTTAATCGATTAATAGCCTTTGTTTAATCGATTAATAGCCTTCAGCGCAAACTCCTTTGGTTCTGCTTCAACTCTAATCGATTAGTCTCGGCTGTGCTTCTTAATCGATTAAATCACTTTGATTAATCGATTAATATCCATTTTTGATTTAATAAATCAGCCCATCTTCGTCTTCTTCGCCATTCTCTTTTACAGAACCAGAGACGGGCGAAACCCTAGCCTCCTCCTTTCAATTCCATTTTCGATTTCCTCAACAAATTCTTCAAAAATTTATTCAATTTTTTTTTACCAAATTTCACCAAACATCATCAATTTCAAAGAGGGAAGATGCCAAGGACCAAGAGCGTTGCCTCGCGACAAGAAACAACGGCGGCGGAAGAAGGGGAACGTCCATGGCGTAAAGAAGGGAGCAAAGACATCCACATTCAAACCGGGCTTGTCTTCAGAACGGGAGCATCAGTCGAGAGGTTCCACAACAACTTTCTCACGAAGGAGATCGTCTCACCGAAGATTGTGGACAAGGACCTTTTCAAATCGGCGACCTATGCCCCGAGTAAGTCTCTTTTCGCTCAGCAAGGTTTGCTTCGTTTCATTCACTTGATGTATGAATTCTTTTGTCCAAATCTTATACGTCAATTTTATGCTAATCTTCGTACCACTAAGGGAGACTCACCATCTCTCGTCTCCTATGTTGACGGCAAAAACATTGATATTGATGGTGCCGGTTTGACCTCTCTTTTTGGCCTTCACCGAGGTGAAATTACCGAAAACTTGGATGAAACATTCCAAGATGAGGCAATTTGGCGACAACTCGGGTTAGATCCTCGTGACCTCAAGTTTAGAAATTCTAGTAACCCGAGTGTCATCAACCTCACTTTGATTCAACGTGTTCAATAATACATCTTCTCATATGTTTTGTTGCCCCGTGATTCGAACCATGGCATTGTCAACAAGGACGATATTCGTTTGTTTCACGTCCTGTTGAACAATGTCAAATTTGATTGGGTTCACTTCTTTGTCGTTGCACTTAGTGATGGTACTCGTTTTTCCTATCTCCGTTTTGCCATCCTGATCATGCATATCCTTGCTCATAGCAAAGTGGATTTTACTCGGGACACTCAGGTAAAAACAATCAAATTTGGAACTGGTCATTCCAGCCGAAGTGGAGAGAGAGACCAAAGCTAAGTCATCTCAGGCCGGAGGGAGTCGAACCACGGGGCGTGTCACTCGACAACGCAGGGAGAGAAGAAGCACCAGAACCTTCTTGGGCGAAGAGGATCTTTGATACTCTCACCTGTATCTGAGATGACGTTCGCCAGCTCAACGAGAGGATGACTCGTATCGAGTAATCCCACTCCTACCGTGGCCCGCGTCACAGCTTCAGTGGAGGAGCTCGTCCGGCAAACTCTCTTTGATTTCTTTGTTGGTGCTTTCTTTTTATGCCTTATTAAGATACACTATTACTTGTTATTGTTTTTATAACTCTTTTGGTGGATGATGATGTTGCTTTGCTTAATGCTAATGTCAATTAAGTATTGATATTTGTTTGTTAGTTTGGCAATATGGTATGTCATTCTTGTTAGATTTTCTCTTTTTAAAGAAACTCTTGCAAAATTTTTTTTTCTATCCTTCAATATCCCGGCATTGATTAAAGGGGAAGGATAATGGTTGATAATGCCAAAAGGGGGAAGGAAGGATAGTTGATAAAACTTGTTTTGCAAAAACATTTTTCCGCTTATTACTCCGATAATTTTTTTACTGCACTTCTCTAACCATGCAGAGGGAATTACTTTAAGGGAAGTATTTCTTGAACTCTTACTTTGCCTTTTCTCAACTATGTTTGTCATTATAAAAAATGGGGAAATTGTTGGACTTGAGTTCAAACCCCTTTATTATTATTCTGGAATATTTTTGTTTTGATAAATGACAAACAGGGTGATTAAATTCAAGCTGATCGAAAATTTATTTTTCGTATCGAGAAAAGCAAAGAGGCGTATCAAGATAAAATCAACGCTTATCCCTACGCAGATTTTTTTGGAGTGATGTGAAGACTCCGAAGACTTTTTAATTTTATTTGAGTCTAGGAATCTTTATAAGGATGACAATAATTTTTGCATAAATAAATTAATTTTGAGGGATAAAAATTATTATTTTCTGAGTCAGTTGAAAAATTATTTTTTCTCTGTTCAAAAATATTTTACTGAGTCAGTTTCAAATAGTGTGTCAAAATTTCTTAAAAATACTTTTTAAAGTTACACAAATTTTTTTATGGTAAGAAAAATATACTTTAAATATTTTTCATGTACATCGTTTGACACACAAAATAATTTTTGGACTCACTTCTCTCTCCCCTATTCAAATTCATCGAATAGGAGATAAGTTTTTCTGAGGAGCGTTCTCTTATTCTCTCTGTCTCAAACAAAGAGGATACTGCCAATTATTTTTTAGAGTTAGAAATATTTTCTTTGAGTGCTAAAGAAGTTGTCATCCATAGATCTTTAATCCTTCAACACTACTTTGCTCAATTGTGTGAGCTTTCATTCTTGTGTTGTAAACTCAATCTTATTTGAGTGTTGTTCTTAAGACTTGTGTGACTCAAGTCTTGGTGTTGTAAGAAAGTGAGGCTTGTGTGATTCAAGTTCTCAAGTTGTACCTGTTTTTCAAGCACCCGTTGAAGCTTGAAGATTAGTTGGACTTTCGAGAGAGTCTCTCGGAGGACTGGACTAGCCATGAGGTGGTGAACCAGTATAAATCTCGGTGTTCTTCTTTCCCTTATTCTCTATATTTATTCCTCCAATTTTATTATTTCACACACACGAAAAACGCCTATTCTTGAAAACAACTCTATTCACCCCCCCTCTAGAGTTGCACATTTGTCTAACAAACATTTGCATCCACGCCACTTGTACATGTTAAAAAATATAAGAGTAAAACTACTACGTGCTCTTCTAAGTTCATCGAGAAAACCCCCCGCCCAAAACTCTCTAATCTCCTCTAACTCGGGTCTAGTATAAGGCATAGTGGAATGAAATACCTGCAATAATACGAAAACAACATACGACATAAAGTTTAATAATCATTACCCTACACTTCATTACTTTCAAAAACACTAAAAAAAACTTACCTCGGATAACGGTACTGAACATTTTGCACACATATTAACGATGAGCCAACAAAATCGCATTGTATACTAACCACACTCAACGTTCCCTTCTTGTTGGGGTACTCCAGGAACATCAACCCAATCCGGTCGAGCCTTAAGCTGAGACATATGTTGTTCCCGAAGTAACCGCCAAGACCTTTAATATATGTAAAATACAAATTAATAAGAAATTAATATCTTAACAAATAAAAAATTTCATTAATAAGAAATAAATTTCTTAATACTCACTCGTTGACGAAAGTCTTCACCTTCATTTTCTTATGCCCTCCGGTTGACTTGATTGAGTTTAGAAAATACACTTTGTTTTCAAACAAACATATTACAACTAACACCCAATGTCGCCTACAATTGAAAAAGTGTTAGTCACAAACTTAAAATAAAAAACCAAAATACGTATTGGAAATGATTTAGAAAACATACGATGTCGATAGATACAACGACATAAATATCCAGGGTCACGATTTATAGGTCTCGAGTGCTCTATCTAGATACTGGCGATCTCCAAACTCTACCACGTACGCCATGTTCTCCGGACATAACAACCCGACAGACGCAATGCCCTGCTCCATCATATGATCGTGCAACAATCTAGTAGTTTCACATGTAAACAAGAATTACAATTATAAGAAATAATTATAATTACAATAGTAATTTATTCGTACATAGTGCTTGACATACCTAAAGAAAACAATTATGATGGTCTGATCGACCTCCTCTCGTCGCATGAACTCACGTATATTCTCCGAACGCATCCTCAACTCCGTCTCCTCTGGATAGAGCATGGACTCAGGATTGAGAATAACGCTGATGGTAGGTAAAGCAGATGTGCATGTCAGCCACTGACACAACTCTCTGCACCTCGGCCCGAATGCGACGTATGAGCTCCGATCAACAACATCCTGTACGGGAGAGCTAGGAGCAGTGGGACGTACGCCGAGAATGGGACGAGATTTGCTTGATGAGAAGTCGCCATGTCGAGCCGTCTGCACCGGGGGCTACGAATATTTTCAAAAAATGATATATGAAACACAGCCTAAATGATGTTGAATAAAAAGAACTAAATTTATTTACTTCTTACATCTCCAACGCCCACCAACGACTTAGGCCATGCAACGAAGCTCCCCTCACAATCGGCCACGGTCTCCATATGCTCAGTCGGACAAGGAATGGTATATTCACCCATTCCAGGAAGCACAAGGGTCACAGAGACCTTAACCTGGTGGGGAAGGAGGGGAACACCGTGCACTATATCTCCCGGTGCACGTGGGAAAACCGATCCATGTGCCACTATGTAATCCGCTAGATCAGAGATCCTCAAGTAACAAGGAGCAACCTACAAAAAACAATTAGTAAACTAATGTCGGAAACAAGTAAACGTAAACTAAACTTGAAACCTTAATTACAAAATATATGTACCTCAGTGACACCGGCGACGTCAACAAAATTTGTAGACGCCTTGCTACTACGCTGCTCATAATGAGGTGGTACAGACGGTGTGTGCTGCGACATGGATGCCCCTCCTGGAGCACTCCCGGACACAGATAGTCCATACTGCTGCAGAAGGGAAGGAAGACGCTGCAAAAGATCCTCCTCAGTCATATAGTTACCTTCGGGCTTACGAGGCTTCATGTTGCCTTTGAAAACTTTACGTTAGCCCGAATATGACCCAACACCCCTCGTCCGTCCTGGGTGCTCGGCAGTCCTTCTGTATATCCCTATTCTTCTCACTCAAAGCCTAAAACAATTGTTTAAAATAAATTAATATGTGAGTTAATAATTTCATTCAATGAAGGTAATTATGGTTTACCTTAGCTTCTGGAGTCCCCATCTGGATCAGAAACTCCTCCCAATGCTCTTGCTCTACGAAGGTATAATGATCAGGGGGATACTTGCCGTAATGATCCCCACCTTCCGTCAAAAAGGCTTTTCGTAATTATGTCCGGAATGTGCGAAGTCTCGCCGCGGCAACTGTCATAACATGTCGGGCCCCACTGGGAGGTATCACATATATATCCTACAAGAAAATGGAGCAACAACTTATTATATATAGAACCATGTAACAATTAAAGATAACAGATTTAGATAAATAAGTGGTACCTACCCGAACCCCGTCTAGTACCGTGGCCCTCAGGTCTTGCGGGACATCATGCCAATCATGATAAGTAATCGGCACTCTCGATCGGACCTCAAACCCTACCAGCCCAGAAAACTTCGAAACATACGGACCACGTACACACTCCCCACGCTCCCACTCATTTTATCCCGAACTAGCTTACCGGAACGAGAAAGTACTCTTTTAGGAAAGTTAATCCGTTGCCATTGGATCCACTCTTATAATACTTACATTATATTTCCTCCATCGTCTATCAGCCATTGGATTCAATCTAACATCTGACATCCATTGCCCATCAGCCATTCGATGAATTCTAATATCTGACATCATCCTACGCACGGCATAATGGCAGACTATATTTTCTTATACAAATTATTACCTACAGTATTAACAACGATAGCATGATGTACTTGCGCTTCATGCACAACTCTGGAGGAAGATTGTAAATGACAAGCAGGACCAGCCAAGTACTATGTTGCGTACTCAAGCTTCCAAAAGGATTGATTCCGTCAGTACACAATCCCAATCGAAGGTTTCTCCCCTCGTTCCCAAACTCCGGAAATGTGTAGTCAATCGTCTTCCACTGTGGGGCATCGGCAGGATGACGCAGGGTGCCATTATCTTTTCGCTGCTCTGTGTGCCACACTAGATTCTTAGCGTCTTTTATTGAAGCAAACAAATGCTTGAACCTTGGTATTATTGGAAGGTACCACAAAACCTTAACTGGAGTCTTTTTGGTTTTTTTCATATTGTCCTTGTTATGAGTCATTTTGGTTGACTCATTGTATCTTGGAGCAAAACACTTGGGACATTCGTTGAGATCCTCGACATGTATCTTCTTGTAGCCCTCACCCATTGGAGACATCATTTTCTTTGCCTCATAAGTGGACGATGGCAGTTCGTGTCCATCTGGAAGAAGTTCACCCAACAAATTTAATAAAGACGTGAAACTTTTGTCACTCCACCCATTTGCTACTTTTAAATTGAACAATTACAAAACCCCCTTCAAACGTGTAAACTTTGTACAACCAGGATACAACGGACGTTTTGAGCTTCCTACTAAGCTCTCATACATATTACGCTCCTCATCAATGACGACTTTATCAGGAGGAACATCTTGAGTGGCCCCTAACTCATCTTCCATTTCAACCTCAAGATTGTGGATGTCGTGAATATCATCTTCGACTTGGTAATTATGAGTATATCTAGAGCTGCAAGGATTTTCTATTTCTCCATGCCATTTCCATCGCAGGTATGTTGGGTCAAAACCCTTGCGATGCACATGTATTCTTATTTCTTTAACGCTATCAACCATAAAATGGTTGTGACATGAGTTACAAGGACAACATAGCTTTTTTCCTTCTTTTGAATGTTTCTCTGTGAAACGAATAAACTCTTCCAAACCAGAAGTAAACTCAGGTGATGTACGCGACATATGAATCCAACTTCTATCCATCATATGAATTGCTAAGCAAGAAAGAAGGGCAAATGATTGATACATGCAAAACAATGCACAACAAAATTATTAATACTCATTTTATATATACACACAAACATATAAGAAATATAGCCAACACTATTTTATTTCTTATGATGTAACAAAATCTGGCAGCACTTCTTCATTATACAAATGGTCCTTCTTTACACCATCCTAACCCATTCTTGAAATGCCACCCTCACTAGTAAATGTATTTCATTTTCTTTGCCCTATCAAAATTTCGGCAGCATTTCCCAATGGTTCTCCAAGTGCACGATGTAACGTAATTACATATGCACCCGAAGAACACATTTAGGAAACGTCAAACCAAAAAATGATGGAATAAAGAGAAAGAAATACATTCACTACCTAAGTGAAAGAAGCATTTCAAGAACAGCTCCAAACTGGGAGCTATTTAAAATTTACTCCTAATGAGTAAATTTTAAACGGGTATTTAAGTCGGTCAATATATGTTATTTCTATATTATAATGTCTCAGAACATGTAGAATCAAACACAAAGTAATTAAACAATCTATTTTTGAAACACAATCTATATCACAATGTCACATTTCAACTTAAACATATACACAAAACATATATAGTAAATTAAATATTAACTTAATGTAAAAATATATAAACAAATAATAGTATAATTAAATATTTAAAGTTAAAAAATTAAAAAAATACCTTAAAGAAGGGATGACGGCAAGGCTGAAGTTGACGACGGCAAGGAAGGGCAGCAAGCACGGCACGGCGACGGCGGGGCAGCAAGCACGGCACGGCGACGGCGGGGCAACGGAGACGGAGACGCTAGGCAACAACGGCGAACGTCAAGGGTGAGGTGGACGAGGGCGAAGTGGAGCAGATTTCGAGGCGACACGGGCATGGCGACAGCGTGGTGGGGAGTTGACGACGGCGAGGCAACGGCAACGGCAACGGCGACGCGCACAACGACCAACGGTAGCGACAACAGCAACGGCGAGCACGACGAAGACGAAGAAAGGCTTTGGAGGGTTTTTTCAAAATCGAGTAAGGATAAGGTAGGGTTGGATGTTTTTTATCAGACTCTTTTGGATCGGTTATTCCTAATAACCGATTCAAAAGGTATTTGAATCGGTTATTAAGAATAACCGATCCAAAAGAGTACTAGCTTTTGAATCAGTTATTCCTAATAACCGATTCAAATACCTTTTGAATCGGTTATTAGGAATAGCCGATTCAAAAGCTAAGCGATACGCGAATTTTTTTACCATTTACATCGTTTGTTTTGCTTAACGATGCAAATGGGGCGATTTATTTGGTCTTTTTTGTAGTAGTGCTGGTTCCAGAATCGGCAGTTCCGGTACTACCACCCCATGGAACTGTTATTGATGCTGGTTCCCGCACCATAGTACTTGGCAGGTACTGCTTTTCATTTACAATCTTCCTCCAGAGTTGTGCATGAAGCGCAAGTACATCATGCTATCGTTGTTAATACGGTAATAATTTGTATAAGAAAATATAGTCTGCCATTATGCCGTGCATAGGATGATGTCAGATATTAGAATTCATCAAATGGTTGATGGGCGATGGATGTCAGATGTTAGATTGAATCCAATGGTTGATAGGCGATGGAGGAAATATAATGTCAGTAGTATAAGAGTGGATCAAATGGCAACAGATTAACTTTCCTAAAAGAGTACTTTCTCCTTCTGGTAAGCTAGTTCGGGATAAAATGAGTGGGAGCGTAGGGAGCCTGTACGTGGTCCCGTGGAAAGAAAGAAAAGGGAATAAATAAAAAATTGGACCGAAACCATCAATTCCAGTCTCAATATCTATACCCCGGAACTGGTCCTGTGAACACCGGTCCCAAGTCCGATCCTCCGTACTGTTTCACTAACTCTGTCACCGATCTGTACCGAGACCGTGTTCAGCCCTAGCGCAGATACCTTTTTTCTAGTTTTATATACTCCCTCAAATCGCAATGGCTCCATCACTTTGATTTTGTTATAGTATCATCCCAAATCGAAAGTCCAGGAATAAAATAATCGGTATATAAGTTCTTGAGCTGAACTAACTAATCGATTAGATTCAATCTTTTAATATAATCTAGTCCAACTCAAGTATCTTATTACATAATCCAGTTATTCTTATCCTATCCCAAAAAATTCTATCAGACATGTAATCAAGTCAACAATGCCTAAACATCTTCGTACGTATTAATTTAGTTTCATATTTAACGCCCATGTTTGGCCAGTGTGTTTTGATGTAATAGATTATTCATGAAATCAGTCATACATGTTTGGATAGTGTAAAATTCATACATGAAAACAGTCATACACATTTTTGGCAATGTGCAATTCATATATGAAAGCAGTGTGGAATTCATACATAAAAAGAGCTACACATTTTTGGGCACTGTGCAATTCATACATGAAAACAGTCATACACTTTTTAACAATGTAGAATTTATAAATGAAAACACTGCCACATAAATCAATGGAGATTACACTCAAACATGAAATTAAAGGACACAATAATACACTTACACACTGCCGTAAGATATAACAACATATTTTACACTGCCACGTCAAATACTTACATATAAAAAACCACACTGCCCACTGCACTACACGGTTACAAGTGAACAACCACACTGCCCAACACAATTATATTTTTTGGCAGTGTGTAATGAATATTTGCTGTTTAATTAAAGGACAAAATTGAAATCACATGTATGAAATAGATAGCACTGCTATTTAGAGTATTTTAAGGTTCTAAGAGTGTTATTTTGGTTTTTCTCCCTTTTAATTATAGTAATTTTAAATATAATAAATTAAATAATTTAAATATAGTAATAGTAATTTAAATTTATTATAGCACTTTGAAAAATGAATAAGTTTTTTAACCCCGTATGTAAAAATCATATTATAAATACATTCATTTACAAAGCTTTCATAGCCATTACATTAATCGTGAATTTTATCCCCTACGTATCAAAACTGTCACTCCTACAAAAAATGGGGATCTTAACTGCTTTGAAAAATTTTGATGAGCGGTCAATCAATGTTAATGATGAAGCTATGAGCAATTAGGGTTTATAATAGGTTTCCGTAACAATAATCTAACATGTTTTAGTCATGGACAACTCTATGTTGCAGTTTCAAGAGTAACTAATCGTAGTGGGTTGAAGATTCTGATATGCAATGAAGATATTATTCCCACAAATTGTACAAAAAATGTAGTTTATAAAGAAGTCTTTTGAACTTTGTAAAGCAGTGATGT